GTCTCTCGGTCTATCGTCACCGCGGTTATCCGTCACTGTCCAAGATCATTTTTTTTTATTTAAAAAATTGACTTTTCAAGTTTATTCCAATATATTTCTCTGAAGAGAAATATCTAAGGAGCCATAACCTCTAATTTCCTGCAGTTTAGATACTTTCTTCAGTCTGTTTTCGGCTTTTTTAAATAAAAAAATAAGATGTTACGTTTTTTTTAATACAAATTTTAAACTAATTGTGTATGTAATTGTTTTGTAAAATTGTTTGTTTACATGTTAAAGTCCAAAATATAGACAAGTATAGGTTATAAACATCTCAAATCACTTGTAACTTCGATTATCCGTCATTTTGGTTTTCCGTCAAGGTGTTGGTCCCGTGCCTGACGGAAAATCGAAGTTCCACTGTATGTAGATTTTTTATTTAAGAATAAATAAATAAATACTTTACGTTTTAGTTATTTTATTGAAAACACAGTTACTATGAATAAAATTTTACTTCAAATAAAAAAAAAAGTCAACGATTACTAACTGACTTACTAACTTAGTGAATAACTAACCTTACTGACTAACTTAGTAACTAACTAATTTACTAACTTAATTACTAAGTAACTTACTAACTTAATTATTAACTAACTTACTAACTTAGTTACTAACAAACTTACTAACTAAGCTAGTTACCAACTAACATAGCTACTAACTACTTAATTAACTAACATAGTTACTAACTAACAAACTAACTTATTGACTAACTTTGTTACTAACTACCTTACTGACTATCTTAGTTATACTAACTTACTAACTAACGTCCTAACTAAGTTACTAATTATGTAACTAACATAGTTACTAACTATGTAACTAACATAGTTACTAACTATGTAACTAACTTACTGGCTAACTAACTTACTAACTTAATTACTAACTAACTAACATAGTTACTAACTTACTAAGTTACTAACTAACTAATTAACATAGTTACTAATTAACAAACTAACTTATTGACTAACTTTGTTACTAACTAACTTACGGGGAGCATGATTATTCCCCAAAATTCAATTTCTTAAGTTTCAAAACATTGAAATTCTTAATATCGAAATGTCTCACATAATTTTCATATTTCGAAATACCATTGAACATAATGTTTAATTATTCGAATTATTCTTTATCCTAATATAGGGAACGACTAAACTGCAATACACCATCTGATGGCGACCTATTCTTTGTGATTCTCCCCTCCAATTTTTTATTTCTTTCTCTCTCTTCAATGAACAGGTTAGAAAGAGTGGAAAAAACAAAATGGAGGGAGAGAATAGGTCAAAGTCACTAGATTGTTACTACACCACCGTTCCCTATTTAAATGTTAGAATTATCCTTTAACATCATTTTTAATATTTACGTCGAAAAATTCTTTGACATAAATTTTGTTATTCCGAAAGACTATTTGTCCTAATTATTAACCCTCCGAATTGCCATTTGACATAATTTACAAATTTCCAAACTACTTTTTAACCCTATAATGCAAGTCACAGAAATTTCATTTGTCCTAAAATAACAATAGAGATGAGAAAAATATTTGATAATTCCATTGGACAAATGAAATTTCTGACTTGCATTATAGGTTAAAAAGTAGTTCGGAAATTTGAAAATTATGTCAAATGGAATTTCGGACAAATAAATTTTATGTTAAGGTTGTTCTATTGATAATTGATTTAATGAACAGATTTTGATCAAATTTGATGTGCAGCTAGATAAAGTTAATATAAAGGCGTAGTTAAATTTTTGAGACCTCTAGGTACCTATGAAAAAAGTTATAAACATTTTTGATTTTCAACATTTAACATTGAGTCTTATGGGAATTGAGTAGTTTGTCATATGTATTTACATACTGCAAAGTATTAAATGAACAGATATTGATCAAAATTTTTTAAATACTAAACCGATATGCAATAATTACATATCTGTTAAAACAATTATCAATAGGTACCTGTGAGATTTACAATAAATCAATTTGTAAACAAAATTTACGTTTCATCTGATAATATAAACAACACTTATAACGTTTGGCAACGTTGCATGCACTATACACATTAAATTTGAGCGCGAAATTTAAATGATAATTTTCATCATAGGTTAGAAATAATTCGGCGTTGCCAAACGCTTTACGTTACCAAGTGAGTCAAATCATTAAATATTTGTCACTGTTTTGACTATAGCTGCGTCAAGCGATAGAACCTCCTTGAATTCAGGGTTGCCACTCTTTTGCTCATTTTAAATTCCCTGACTTTTCCAGGTTTTCCAGGCTAAAAACGGAATTTTTCCAGGTTTTTAAAACTACATTTATATTTTACAAAATTTTTAATTCAAACCTTTCTAAAATTAAACATCTTATAAAAAATTGTTATAAAACATGAAAATATCGATCACTCCAATGCAATCGATATCTTCATGTTTTATAATAATTAAAAATGTTGGACTGATAAAATCATCATTTTATACCTATTACAAGAATATTGTTACTGTAACTTATTCAAAATTACTTTCATTATTTTAATTCAATTATTGTTTTCCACAATTTTTAACTAAAATTCTTCTTTACAAAGTGTAAATTAATTATTATTAATAATTACTGAAAAATTTCTTTCAACATTTTCAAATCCTTTTGTTTACAATTCAATTTTACGAAATTTCATCGATTATTCAGGTATTCGGAAATTCTTCAATCAAATATATATTAGAAAATAAAAACTTCAAATAACTTCAAAAAAATTCAATTCAACTTTTACAAAAAAATTAAATCTACACAATTTTAAGTTAAAAGTATGAAAAATTCAAACATTCAAAGATTATAATTTGAGACCTGCTTTTCAAAACTTAATTATTATCTAAAGTTTTAACTGAAATTCATATTTCAATCAATTATTATTAGAAAATTCTACGACAATTCAATTATTTAAATACAAAAAAAATAATTTATTGAAGAATTCAATGTTTTTTAAAATTCAACTCTCATTTAAAGAATTTTATCAACAAATTTTTAAATAGGTAATTAAAATTCTTTTTACGAATTTCAATAAAACTTTTAAGAATAATTTCATTTTTCGAGAAATTAGATTAAAAATGTATTAAAAATAATTTAATCTTTGTAAAAAATTTCATTGAATTGAGAAAAGTTTTTGAAAATAATTGAAATTTTGGCAAAAATTTTATTAAAATTTTTTTAAATAATTGAAATATTGCCAAGAATTTTATTAAAATTTTTAAAAATAATTGAATTTTAGAAAAATATTTAATATAATTATAAAAATAATTGAAATTTTGACTATAACTTTTTTTAAACTTTTGATTATAATTAAATTTCTGCTAAGAATTTTATAACTTTTGAAAATAATTGAATTCTTGAGACGAATTTTTTAATAATATTTCTTTTTTAAATACCTAATTATTTTTAATACAAAAATAAATAATTTATTGAATAATTGAATGTTTCTCAAAATTCAATTCTCATAAAGAATTTTATTAACAAATTTTTAAATAATTGAATTCTTTTGACGAATTTTAATAAAATTTTAAATATAATTACATTTTTCGAAGAATTCGATTAAAATTGTATAAAAAATAATTGAAATTTTGCAATGAGTTTTATTATCTATGAAAATAATAATTGAATCCCTGTAAAAAATCGTATTACATATTTATAAAAATAATTGAATCTCTGTAAACATAAATTGAATATTTTTGAAAATAATAGATTTATTGCGAAGAAATTTATAAAAAATGTTTAAAATATTAATTCATTTCTTTTGGAAAATTTTATTAAAATAATAGTTATTAAAAATCATTGACTGAAGGAGAATTTAAAAAAAATGAATTTGTTAAAAAGAATTTCATTAAAATTTTTGAAAATAATTGAATTTTGGAGAAAAATTTTAATATTTGTAAAGATAATTGAAATTTTGACGATAAATTTTTTTAAACTTTTGACCATAATTGAATTTCTGCGAAGAATTTTATTACTTTTGAAAATAATTGAATTTCTTTGATGAATTTGAATAAAATTTTTAAGAATAATTATTATACATTTTTCGAAAAATTCCATTAAAATTGTATTAAAAATAATTGAAATTTTGCGATGAGTTTTATTATTTATGAAAATAATTGTAAATCTATAAATTTTTTGATTATTTATGAAAATAATTGAATTATTGCGAAGAAAAATTGCAAAGGCAACTCTTTTAAAATTGAATTAAAGAAAAATTAGATTTCAAGAATAAGCACAATAACTTTAGAAAACAATAATTTTCTAGGATTCCAATCAAAATTCCCTGACTTTTCCAGGTTTTTTCAAGGTTTATAAAAATTCCCTGACATTTTCAGGTTTTCCAGGTTGCGTGGCAACCCTGTAAATGGTTATTCGAATAAATGAAAATTATGACAAATAAAATTTCTATAAATTAAAATTTCTGAAATATGACATTTCGAAGATTTGAAAGTTATGTCACATGAGGTTTCGAGTAAAAGCGTTTTATATCACTTGATAATTGGAATAAATAAAAATTATGATAAATGGAAATTTCTTAAACATGAAATTTCTGGCAAATATAATTTAGAAAAATGAAATTTATGTAACATAATATTTCGAAGGTAAGAAAATTATGTCAAATGTCAATTCGGAGGATTAATAATTATGACAGTCATTCGGAATAACAAAATATGTGTCAAAGAATTTTTCGACGTATTAAAAATGATGTCAAATGATAATTCTAATATTTAAATATTAGGATAAAGAATAATTCGAATGGTATTTCGAAATTTGAATATTCGTCCTAAACGAATAATTTATTAGTAAGAATTAAAATTTAGAAAAATTAATTATATTAATATGTTAAGTTGTAATAATAAGTGGATAAAAATGTTATAATTAGTATTAAAAATGAATAAAATTTGTTCTTCAGTTGTTGGACAAAGTATTGTGTGCAATCCCCCATGTATTAAATATATGAAAGCCTCACCTGTAAGCAAGTGACATACACTGGAAGAGTTTATTGAGTGAAGTTTCAATGCTGAGTTGTTGTGAATTGGCATCTGAAGGAGAATTGGAGACAAACTTATCCAAGGAGAAGCCAACAGGAGCGATAATTGCTAGTCGTGCAACTTCCTCTTCTGGTACAGGTACGGCGAGTTCATCTTCATCATCCTGAGCCTCGGCCTCGAAGTCTGACACCATAAAATGACCTGAATGTATGGTTTCTCTCGAATCCTTACTTGCTCGCTTCATTCTGTGAATGCCAGTCTGAGTTGTGGCCACCTCCTGATGCGAGGGTATCACTGAGGCCTTCCGATACATCAATTCAGCTTGCATTGTCTCCTACATGTTTTAAAATGCATTTATTTTTCCATTTACAAACAGACATGTTAATCTCAGTGACTGGATCATTTTTATTACATTTCACTTATCAAATCTTTAGCGACAAATTGTTTTCAAAAATATTTTTAAAATTATAAAATTGAGGGGCCGGATCGAATTGGCAATTCCGCAGCTCATTTGGTATTGAAAGAAGTCTACTTCACACAAAAAACCCAGTCTCATTTTTGTTGCAACTTTGAGACCAGGTTTTTTCAGTGTTTACATTATTTTCGTTTACCCTGATCAAAACAAAAGTCAAATCGAATTTTATTTCTAACTTAGCGTCGAAACTATTGTAGAAAACTTTTCCAGTTACAGTTACGCAATTTTGAGTTTCTTAAAATTGGCTTGATACATTTATTCTATAAACCCCTATAACACTCTTAGTGCCTAATTTAATAACAATTTAATCATTTTGAGCTTCATAAATTACGTATTTATTAGATATATTATCCTTTTTTTTGTTACCCCATGAATCATATTTAGACTGCCACATTGAATTTCTTAAATGACCCACTAATAATTTAGACATCATTACTTTAAGATGAAATTTTAAGCCTCTAACCATCAGAATTGACCCAATATAATTATGTACGGAGTACTAATGAATAAAATGTGAAATATTCAATTAAATAAAAAATATTTTAAAATAAATTTTAGCCATAAATGGACTCAACATCCATGCGCCAGATTCAATTCAATGTTTATAATTGTATCTGCAGGTATTAATTAAATATAAATATTAGAGGCATTCTATTTCACAACGACCCCCCTTGTAAACAATTGCAATATAAGGCAATTTTTAAATAACAACTCCTATTTAATAGAACCCAACTTTATTTACAATGAGTGGTTTGAAAAGAAAAATTTCTGAACTTTACAATAGTAAAAAGAATTTTTAAAAATATAATATAAATTATATAAAAAATTAAGTTTGAAAGATAACCTTTTACTTATCTCAAAACACGTTATCTCCGATTTTTTTTAAACTTATGTCAAAATAAAGCTTAAAATTTCTAGCTTTATTCACTGCATAGATTACAATGGACAATTCAGGAGATTTTGAGAAATAAATTAAATTTTACAATGCGATTAGAAAGGTTAAAATGTATGCATAGAGGGGAATTTGTTTTTTAAAATTTTCACTTTTGTTAATAACCTTAAAATATTTATTTTGAATCAGAGGAGAAAGCATTAAATATTTTTAAAAATGAGTTTTCTGTAAGTAAAATGTTTGTATAACTTTAATAACTAAAGAAAATCATGAAAAGGTAAAACATTTAACAGGTATTTTTAAAAAAAATATTTTTTAATTTAATAAAATTTAGTATAGAAAGTTGCTTTGTTCGAGAAGTGGTTTGCGATTTTTATACATTTTTTAAAATTTGAAAATTTTTCAATTAAATATATATAATTATATGTATTCAAAAATTTAACTAATTTAAAAAAATTTTAATAAAAATTTTTCAAATAATTAATCTTGTTCGAAATTTTGTAAGTTTTTTACAATTTTGAATCTGAAATAATTAAATTCTTGCATTTCATTTTATTAAAATTTCTGAAAAAATTGAATTATTTTTAATTTTATGGAAATTTTTGAAAATAATTGATTTCTTGTGAAGAATTTTAGTATTTATGAAAATAATTGACAATTAATTTTAAAAAAAGTAGCTTAACGCAATTTTTGAAATTTGACTATTTCTAAAAATTACAAAAGTAATTCTTTCAAAATTCAATAATTTTTTTTATTGAAATTTATAAATAAAATTGTTTAAAACTTCAATCATTTTATTTTACTTAATTCTAAATCAATTCTTATTAGAAAGTTTTACTAGAATGAAATTATTTAAAAACAAAAATAAATAATTTATTGAATAATTGAATATTTCTTATATTTGAATTCTTATAAAGAACTTTATCAACATTTTTGAAAATAATTAATTTCTTTCAAGAAATGTAATTAAAAATGAATTTAAAATAATTATTACAATCTAAGAAACAAATTATATCAAATTTTTTTAAATAGTTGAATTTTTTCAAAGAATTTCTTCAAATTTTTAAGAATAATTGCGTTTTTAGCGGAATTAATTTAAAATTATATTACAAATAATTGAAATCCTGCGATGAGTTTTATTATTTATGAAAATAATTGAATTTTTGACACAGAACTTTAATAAAGTTTTTAAAATAATATTGCATTCTTGAGAAGAATTTTTAAAACGTCTTTTTTAAAGGAATGACTTTTTTCAAAAAATTTCATGAAAAGTGTGTTTTAAATAATTGAATTTCTTTCAAAATTGTATATTATTTATGAAAATAATTGAATTCTTTCAACAAATTTTATTAAAATTATATTGAAAACAATTGAATTTTATTAAACTTTTTAAGAATAGTTACATTTTTCGCGGAATTCATTTAAACTTGTATCTAAAAATAAATAATTTACTGATTAAACAAATGTTTCTCTAAATTCAATAATCACAAAGAAGTTTATAAAAATAATTGAAATTCTATGATGAGTTTTATTATTCATGGAAATAATTGAATTTTTGTTTAAAAAAATGTTGTTATTTATGAAAATAACTGAATTATTGCGAAGAAATTTATAAAAAAATTTGTAAATAGTTGAATTCCTGTGAAATTTTTATTATTTATGAAAATAATTTGTTTGCTTAGAATTTTATAAAAAAATTTTTTTTTTAATAATTAAATTTTTTTGAAAAATTTTATTAAAATAGTAGATATTGAAAAATCATTGAATTGAGCAAATTTTTTTGAAAATAATGGAAACGCAAAGAATTTAATTAAAATTTTTGAAAATAATTGAAATTCGGAGAAGAATTTAATTATTTTTAAAGATAATTGAATTCGGACGAGAATTTTTTGCAAATTTTTGAACATAATTGAATTTTTGCAAAGAATTTTATTACTTTTGAAAAGAATTGAATTTCTACAATCCATTTGTAACTTCTCCAAAATTCAATATTTTTTCCAGTACTTTAATAAAAATCCCTGACTTTTCCCTAAATTCCCTGATTTACCTGACCTGTGACCACCTTGATAATAATTGAATTTCTGTGAAAACTTTTTTATTTATAAAAATTGAATGTTTGCGTAGAATTTTATAAACATCTTTTTTAAATTATTCAATTTTTTTGGAAAACTTTTTATTTAATTAGACTTTAAAAATAATGTTTTTATTTCAACTGATAACAAATTTAAATTAGTGTAGACTTCGCACTCGATAATTTTTATTTATTTATTTTATTTTCCTGCCTTTTTCCTAATTTTCATCAAAAATATTTACTTCTTTCTTATCCTGATAATAAATTGAATTCCTGCAACGAATTTTATTTTTTATGAAAGAATTTAAATATTTAAAAAAATAATTTAATTCTTGTGAAAAAAATTTTTAAATAATTGATTTGTTTTGACTAATTTTATGCAAATTCTAATTTCAATAATTGAATTCCTGAGAAACTTTTATTATTTATGAAAAGAATTGAATTCTGTTTGGAAACTTCATAAAAATAGTAGGCATTGAAAATCATTGAATTGCGAAAAGTTTTTAAAAATATATAAATTTTACAAAGAATTCTATTAAAATTCTTAAGAATAATTGAATGTCTGTGTGGCATTTTATTACATTTTTTTTAAATAATTAAATTCATAAGAGCATTTTATTATTTATGAAAATAATTAAATTGAAAATAATTAAATTTTTGCGAACGATTTTATTAGAACTTATTGAAATAATTGAATTTTTTCGAAGAATTATTTATGTAAATATAATTGAATTCTTCTCAAGAATTTTATTAAAATCTAGAAGAATAATTGAATTATTTAAAAAGAAATTAATTAAAATTGTATTTAAAATAATTTAATGTCTTTCGAAAAATTTTATTAAAATATTTGGAAATAATTGAATTTCTGCAAAAATTTCTAATATTTTTGTAAATATTGATTTCTTCTGAAGAATTTGAAAAACATTTTTTTTAAATAATTGATTTTTTTCAAGGAATTAAAATTAAATTTTTAAGAATAATTACATTTTTTGAACAATTCCTTTAAAATTGCATTCAAAATAATTGAAATCTTGCAATAAATTTTATTATTTATGAAAATAATTGAATAGTTACAAAGAATTTAAAAAAAAATTTTCAAAAATAATTAAATTCCTGAAAAGAATTTTATTATTCATGAAAATAATTAAATTATTACGAAAAACTTTATTAAAATATTTGAAAATAATTGAATTCCTGTGAAAAATTCTAATATTTTTGTAAATAATTGAATTCTTCCTAAGAACTTTTTAACATTGTTTTAAATAATTATTTTTTTCGAAATATAATAAATAAGTTGTGAATTTTGAATATTTTATGAAAATAAAAAAAAGTATCCAAATAATAGCAAATGGTAAAAAAATTAGTAAATAGTAGATTTTAGTATAGATGAGTGCAATGCCTGTGGATGGAACAAAAAAATTTAATTGAAATAAATTGTTTTGTGTGTTGAATCTTTTTATTGTGTATTTTAACTATTAATAAGAACAATTTATATTTTAATGACATCAAGTGCCTTCAAAGAAATGATATTCTAAAATAATAAAAAATATAAAATGCAGTATTAGTTTGAGGTTTTTTCTTTATGTTTTTTCTTTTTTTAATTTTTCACAATTGTAGAAAGAAATATTTCATACTTTATTTTAATAATATTATGAAAATGAAATATTTTAAGATGACCGATTCTCATTTCTCGACAACACATACTTTAATAATATCAAACAATCCGGAATAAAATTTAATAATATTTAATAAAATTCAAAGCAAAATTTTAATGAGGTATTTTTAACATTTTTTTTTAAATTCTCTTTAAAATGTAAAATATTTTTATAAATAATAAAATTCTTCTCCTAAATTCAATTATTTAAACAAAAATTCAATAAAATTCTTGTCAAAATTTCAATTATCTTTATAAATAATAAAATTCTTCTCTAAAATTCAATTATTTTCATAGGTAATAAAATTCTTCGCAGAAATTCAATTATATTCAAAATTTTTTTTTAAATTCTCGTCAAAATTTTATAAATAATAAAATTCATTATGGAAATTTAATTATTTTTAAAAGTTCTGATAAAATTCTAATACAAAATTTAATCATCTTCAAAAGTACGAAAATTCTTCGCTGAAATTCAATTATTTTCAAAAAATTATTTTAAATTCTCCTCACAATTTCAATTACTTTTATAAATAATAAAATTCTTCTCCTAAATTCAATTATTTAAACAAAAATTTAATAAAATTCTTGTCAAAATTTCAATTATCTTTATAAATAATAAAATTCTTCTCTAAAATTCAATTATTTTCATAAGTAATAAAATTCTTCGCAGAAATTCAAATTCAAATTTTTTTTTCAAATTCAAATTTTCTCGATAAAATTCTTTACAAAATTCAATTATCTTCAAAAGTAAGAAAATTCTTCTGCAAAATTCAATTACTTTTAAATGTTTTTAAAAAATCTGTTCAAGATTTTCAATTATTTTTTATAAATAATAAAATTCTTTTCTGAAATTTACTTATTTGTAAAAAAAATAATAAAATTCTTGTCAAAATATTTTCAATTTTTTTTTAAATTCCTCGTCAAAATTTTATTTATTTTCATAAATAATAAAATTCATCCTGGAAATTTAATTATTTTCAAAAGTTCTGATAAAATTCTTTGCAAAATTCAATTATCTTCAAAAGTAAGAAAATTCTTCGCAGAAATTCAATTATTTTCGAAATTTTTTTAAAATTCTCCTCAAAATTTCAATTATCTTTGTAAATATCAAAATTATTCTGCAAAATTCAATTACTTACTAATGTTTTATAAATTTCTTCTCAATAATTCAATTATTTTCATAAAAAATAATTAAAATTTTTTTTTATAAAGTCTTATAATATAAAATAATGTCGAAGACTCGGAGTGATCGATTTCTTCATGTTTTATAACAATTTTTTATAAGTTGTTTAATTTCAAAAAGGTTTGAATTTGAATCTTTTGAAGAATTTTATTTCCTGTGGAAAAATAATAATTAAATATCTATTTAAAAAAGAAGTTATTGATGTTTTCGAAAAATTTGAAAGAAATTTGTAAATAAATGTAACAGATCATTTTTTTGACTAAAACTTTTTCCTTCAATTTTCTAAAAATTTTAGAAGTTTCACTTTCTAATTGACAAATAGAATTTATAAACATTTTTTTTTTCATTAATTTTTAAAAAACTTTAAATTTTATTAAAGCAATTGTAATTAAGAAATAGAAATGATGCAAATTGTTTCCTTATGAAAATTGAGAATTTCCTACAAAAATATTAAGAAACGAGATAATATGTTGTTTTTTTCCCTAAAGAGAAGAATGATTTTGTGCCATTTACAATTTAAGTCGAAAAGTAATTAAAAAATTTGAAAAAAGTCGATTATTCGCATTTTACTAAAAAAAATCTCGAAAAAAGTCACATTTCCTTAGAAAAGTCGAAAAAAGTTGAAAAAGTCGCACAATCCGAGCCCTGTATAAAATTATAAATGTTGAATAAAATAAGTGTAAAGGGAAAATTTGAATAATTACTGAAATAGAGTAAATGTAATATGGAAGAAGTTATCTTATACTTGCTAGAGTGCCGTGACGTAGCAATGTAATTTGTGGGAGTGTCGTGGTTTTAAAAACATTCCGCTGATAGGTTACGCTCTAGTGTCACTTATGTATATATAGTTACACGTGTTTACAAGTATGTTGAAATCGTTCAAATGATCCCTTCAAGTATTCAAATAGGACACCAGTTTTTTCATGCAGAGAAAAGAAAATCAGTTTATAATAGGGCAAAAGACAGTTGGATTGACTGTCCTTGTTTCTTTAAATAGACGTTCCTTCTTTATTACCCATATTTGCTAGGTGTCTGAAACGCCCACTCGATTAACAATTTTCAACATTATTATTATATTTTTGCAACAAATGGCGACATTTTTTATGTCAAATTCACTAAAAAGTACACTTTTTGCATTAAATGGATTTAATATTTATTGACACTTTATTATTATGTAAAAATATTAATATAATAAATATCCTCATACAATCTAATTGACTGTGTGTTTTGTAATAATTAGTTGGCTAAAAGAATAGTTATCATAAGCAGGGCAAAGTCGAGAATGATCCAGTCACCTTATAACCATATGCTTGCCTCTTGTGGACAATAACAAAGTTGTAAGAATTTGTGGACTGCTGACGAATAAGAAAAGTGTAGCACGCACTTTGAGTGTTAAACTCTGACACTGGACACAAAAACAAAAAGGACACTCACCTCTTCACACTGCTCTCGATGACAATAACATACACTTGACGAGGCAGATTAATCTTCACTTTTTTCCACGTTCACTGTGTGATTTCGAAATGAATGCAACACGAACACTAAACACTTTGCCGTCAAGCAGGGCCGCGAGAAGCGGTGCCTGGAAGAGGCCCTTTAACCTTATTACACGACACACGCTTGCTCATACTGCTCATACTGACAGAACGGCCATTTGCCTTAAAAAGCGTCTAACTCACTTATTGTTTTCAATCAGTCGCCGCCTGCAGCTTATTACGACTATTTCTTTCTCAACGTGGTAACAGCTGATCGGATACAAGTAGAATTATTAACGTATATGAACATTCTGGCCCCATCTCTCGTTGTTGCCTGAAACTACAAAACTCGAGAGGTAAAAGGCAGAGTAGGAAATTTTTCTACTTTTTTTGTTCCATATTTATTGCAAGAAAATATCACATTTTCCTGCCGTAAAATGCATCTTATTTCGATTTTCATAAAGGTGAAAAATAATACTACAAAAAGAAGTATCTTAATTTCAAAATGTTTCTATAGACGCACTTTTTAGTTGAAATTTCTCAGTTATTGTCTGAGTATTATTAACTACCTATAATAATAATTATTAACACAGACACACAAAAAAAAGGTTTTTTGAATTGCTGAATCCGAATTCGAAGTCAGAGTTGACAAATTTGCTTAACCCTTTAACGCCCAAATGTACAAATTTTTGGCATGAAGTTTGAGGACTTATTTCGGTACTTAAAGATCAATAGAAAAATTCATCAATCTCATCATTTCTTATGTTTTCATATGCGTTCTATCCAATGGCGTTGTAAAAAAATCAAAAAATTAATAAACAAAAAAGTTATTAACGTTTTTTATAAAAAAAGTCAGATTTTTTTCAAATTTTTGTTTAATTTTCAATTTTTTATACTATGAAATAGCAGAAAAATAATTCCAAATGTTACAAATAACGTGACATAGATACCCTGTTTAAAAAAATTATTAAAATGGATAGGATTTGATAGAATTTTCTTCCTTCACTCCTTAAAAATCGAATCCAATTTAATCAAATATTGAAAATCCAATCCACTTCTATCCAAAGTAGAAAATTAAATCCATTCCTATCATAAGTTTTGATGTATTATCTATGAAAGTTAATAATATACTAAAATTCAATATTTTACTATCAAGAGTTTGGATACGAATTATATCAAATTCTATGAGTCGAAAAATCTTATAATTTTCTATCCATGAGTTTTGATTGAATACCTATCAAATTCTTTCCAAATGAAAATCTAATATTTCTCTATCCAAGATTTGGATACAAATTCTATCAAATTCTATGAGTCGAAAATTCTTATAGTTTTCTATCCATGAGTTTTGATTGAATATCTATCAAATTTTTTCCAAATATGAAAATCTAATATTTCTCTATCCAAGATTTGGATTCAAATTCTATGAGTCGAAAATTCTTATAGTTTTCTATCCATGAGTTTTGATTGAATATCTATCAAATTCTTTCCACATGAAAATCCATTATTTCTCTATCAAAAGGTTTGGATACAAATTCTATCAAATTCTATGAGTCGAAAAATCTTATAATTTCTATCCATGAGTTTTGATTGAATACCTATCAAATTCTTTCAACATGAAAATACTCTATCAAAGATTTGGATACAAATTCTATCAAATCCTATGACCCTAGATATCTTACAGTTTTCTATCCATGAGTTTTGATTGAATACCTATCAAATTCTTTCAACATGAAAATCCAACATTTCTCTATCAATGATTTGGATACATTTTCTATCAAATCCTATTATCTGAAACGTCTTATAACTTTCTATCTATGAGTCTTGATGAAATACCTATTAAACTCCTTCCACATGGAATTTCACTTGTCATGTCAAATTAAAAATGAACAAGCTTGAGTTTGGAATTTCCAACTCCAAATTTATATAGCACAGTGAAGGATTAATGTCATCTTGGTTTAATTTTGAATCGGGGATGCATTCTATTTGGAATTTTAAGTTTAAAATTAAAGAGTTTGATTAATCGCGAATTAGAATTCATAAAATTGTCATTTTCGCCAATTGTTATTTTTGCAAAGAATTATTATTGCAAATTTACATTTTTACAAATATATATTTTAGTTAACTGTTATTTTGCAAATTTGTTATTTTTGCAAACTTACATTCTTCGCAATTGACAGTTTTACAAATTGTTAGATACTTTTGCTAATTGTTATTTTTTGTTATTTTCTGCTAATTGTTGTTTTAAAATTTTATTTTTGCGAATTTGAATTTCTGGAATTGATATTTTTATGAATTTGTTACTGTTGCTATTTGTAATTTTGTCAATAGTAGGGTCAGACCAGCTCAACTGTGTTAAAAAAATTTCGTTGATTTTCTAAAATGTTAAAACTTTTATGAAAATCTGTAGTTCACAACGTTCACAACAAAACAATAAAACAATTTTAACCGTTTTTTTGAAATTTTAAATTTTTGTTATTTTTTTTTGCATTAACAAAATATTACAAAATTTAAAAAAAATTAATAACTCAAAAGCCGTTTACACTAAAATAATGAAACTTACACTATTTACACAAAATTGTTCACTCTTTTAAAATAAAATATTTGCATGATTGTAAATTTAAAAATTCCATATTTTTAATAACAATTTTATTAACAATTTGAATTATTTATGTTTTCTACCGCTCCTGTTGCAATGAAACTCATAGGAAGTATACTCAATAGTCTCTTCTTGAAACCCAAAAAAAAATTTTGGTATTTTCAATTTGGAAAATGTACATAACGAATTTTTTTATTAAAAACGCGTGCCAACTCCACAGTGGGAAAAAGTTGATTGTTGTAGAAAATTCAGTTTAGAGGTTACAAATATTATTTGTTTTTAATAATTTTTTTTTAAATGAAAGTTTGTAAAATTGCGCACCGATTTGTGGCGGTAGAATTTCGAAAACTGTTAACTAATTTTTTTTACTTAACAATATATATGAACAAAAGAGAAAAAAAATTCCAAAATATTAGTTAACAAATGCGTAGCATTAATATTTTTTAAAGTTAAGATATCAGATTTAATCTGATGGGTGCACAATTTTATAAACTTTCATTTAAAAAAAAATTATTAAAAACAAATAATATTTGTAACTTCTAGACTAAATTTTCCACGACAATCAAATTTTTCCTATTGTGGAGTGGACGCGCGATTTTAATAAAAAATTCGTTATGTACATTCCAAATTGAAAATACAAAAATTTTTTTTTGGGTTTCAAGAAGAGACTACTGAGTATACTTCCTATGAGTTTCATTGAAACAGGAGCGGTAGAAAACATAAATAATTTAAATTGTTTATAAAATTGTTATTAAAAATATGGAATTTTTAAATTTACAATCATGCAAATATTTTCTTTTAATAGAGTGAACAATTTTGTGTAAATAGTGTAAGTTTCATTAATTTATTGTAAACGGCTTTTGAGTTATTAATTTTTTTTTAAATTTTGTAATATTTTGTTAATGCAAAAAAAATAACAAAAATTTAAAATTTCAAAAAAACGGTTAAAAGTGTTTTATTGTTTTGTTGTGAACTACAGATTTTCATAAAAGTTTTAACATTTTAGAAAATCAACGAAATTCTTTTAACACAGTTGAGCTGGTCTGTCCTAGTCATTTAGCGAATTTTAATTTTTACGAATTTTCTGTTTTTTATTTCGCTTAATGTTATTTTTTGCAAATATTTGCAAAAAATTACAAAGCGGTCAAATGACATTTGAGCAAAAAGGCCATAGCAGTATAAGCATGTAAAAAGTGCCCCCTCTTGGATTGGGTCCATATTTAGGGAATAATTTTGACCTATTATGAGACTTATTTTCACCAAGTTTTAACTCGAAAAAAATTTTTGTTTTTGAGTTATACAATTTTTTTTGAAAAATTCAAAAAAATTCAAAAATTTTTTTTCCCTCCAAAATGGTTGAACCGATTTTCATGAAAAAATTTTTTTTTGTACAATACAATATGAACAGTTAATAAAAAAAAATTTTCGACCAAATTCTAACAAAAAAAGTCAGTAAAAAGTCAAAAAAAAAAATTTTTTTTAAATTTTTTTTTAAAAAACATTTTTTTTTTATTGGAATTTTTTTTTGCACCACCGCCATTTTTTTTCTATAAAATAATAGTCATTTCAAGAGTAACGTATATTTTTTGCAAGATGATTTAAAGGGTACTTCATACTTTAAAAAATAAAAAACCGATTTTTTTTTCCTATATAAATAAGGGGTCAACATTTTTTTAAAATTAAATTAAAAATTAATTAATACTTAAATTGAATTTCTAAAAAAGTTAATAATATATGCCTGTTTATTGTAAATATTGATTTTTTAGTCAACTTTTCAAAAAAATTTACAAAAAAGAATTTTTTTTTGAAGTTTTTTCAACTTTGGCATATTTTTTAATAATTGTAGAAAAAATTTGAAATTTACATAGGTTTAAGTTTTATCTTTAACTTAAGACCAAAAGAGTTTAAAAATCTTAATCGGTTCGTGAGATCCCAATATATATAGAAAATATCTACTGCTTTGATTCAAAAATAATATTTGTTTGAATAATTGTGTTTAATTCAAATATATTTTCTGTTTTGGTTTAAACAAAGAATATGTTTAAAAATGTTATGTTTGATCCGAACTTAAATGTTGATTAGAAACAATTTAAAATCAACCATAAATTTTGTTCGAATTGAATATATTATTTCTATAAATGAACCAAAAAATATGTTCGAATTAAACTGAAATATGTTTGACTGTATAGCAAAGATATTTTAAGTTTGATTTAAACAAAATTTTTTTGAATCAAATAAACCGTTTTCTCAGTGATTGACATGTTTTTGGGCCGTGCGCGTGCAGCCGTACCGGTAATTCCCGACGGTAGTGTACGTCCATTTACTTTTTTAATAAACCTTGTACATACTAAAAAATCAATATTTACAATAAACAGGCATATATTATTAACTTTTTTAGAAATTTAATTTAAGTATTAATTAATTTTTAATTTAATTTTAAAAAATGTTGGCCCCTCGTTTATATAGGAAACTGTACTATTTAGGGGCCAAAAATCGGTTTTTTATTTTTTAAAGTATGAAGTACCCTTTCAATCATCTTGCAAAAAATATATGTTACTCTTGAAATGACTATTATTTTATAGAAAAAAATAGTGGTGGTGCAAAAAAAAATTTCAATAAAAAAAAATTAAAAAAAAATTTTTTTTTACTGACTTTTTACTGACTTTTTTT